AAGCACAAGGATCTGCACCAGGCGACTTGAAGGTAAGCCGTGGCAGCCATTTTGTGGCTGGCTCCGCCTCCTGAGGCAGCCATTTTGTGCCTGCGCCCACCATTCTGTGTTAGAATTCCAAAGGAGCCCTCAGGCTCCAAATGGTTGGGGGGACCCCTGCCATACAGGTTTCTTCTAGATAGACTAACAAAATTTGTGGCAAGGTTATGAACTTTCATGAGTCACTGCTCACAGAAGTTAGCAGTGACTCATGAAAGCTCATACCTTGCCACATAAGAACATAAGAGAAGCCAGTGTTGGGTCAGGCCAACGGCCCATCCAGTCCAACACTCTGTCACACAGAGGCCAAAAATACCAGGTGCCACCAGGAGGTCCAGCAGTGGGGCCAGGACACTAGGAGCCCTCCCACTGTCCCCACCCCACCCCAAGCACCAAGAAGACAGCATCCCTGGCCCCAGGCCAAGAGCTCCTATCTATACCTTGTGGCTAATAGCCACTGATGGACCTCTGCTCCATATGTTTATCCAATTCCCTCTTGAAGCCGCCCATGCTTGAAGCCGCCACCACCTCCTGTGGCAGTGAATTCCATGTGTTAATCACTCTTTGGGTGAAGAAGGACTTCCTTTTATCCGTTCTAACCTGACCGCTCAGCAATTTCATGGAGTGCCCACGAGTTCTTGTATTGTGAGAAAGGGAGAAAAGGACTTTTTTCTCTGCCACAAATGTTGTTAGTCTTGAAGGTGCTACTGGACTCTTGCTCTTGTCTACTGCTACAGACAGACTAACATGGCGACCCATCTAGAGGTTTCTTATAGGACCCAGCCAACTCGCAGCTCCCAGGTAGAGGGGGAACAGCTTTCGATGTGGGGTGGGAAACGAAGCTTGAGAGACACACAGAGCAATCCTGAGCCAGGTTGTCCTCTTCCATTGGCTTCAGTGGACTTAGTAGCTCTTAGGATGGCACTGTGAGGCTGCCGTCCTTTGCACACTTACCTGGGAGTTACCAGCACTGAGTGCAGTGGGACTTACTTCCGAGTAGACATGCACATGATTGAGCTATAAGGTGCTTGCATGGGAAAGTCAACATTTTACAAATTGTTTTAAAAAGCATCAACAACATACCGTATTTTTCGCCCTGTCCTGTATTTCCCAGGCAAACCCGATCTCATCAGATCTTGGAAGCTAAACAAAATCAACTCTGGCAAGTACTTGAATGGGAGACCTACTTGAAATACCAGAGGCAGGAGGCGGGGGCAGGCTTTATTCAGCCGCCTCTCTGAATATCCTCCAGGCCCCCAGTAGGGGTCAGTCACCAGAGGTCACCATGACTTCCAGGTGCACAAACACTGACACGCACATATAAAAAAATACCACAAAACAAAACCCCCCACAATACAGTATTTTTTAAAAGCCACATCAGTGCAGTAGGTTTTCTGGGAAGAAAAAAAAAAGAATTGGAAAAATTTTCCATTCTCTACATAACAGCATGATCTGATTGAATACATTTAGTTTGGGTTATATTTACAAAAAAAAATTAATTACCTCATATTAATTTCATGTCCCAATAGCAACAAATACTTGAATTGAAAAATCCAGTTAGAGAAAAGAAACGAATCGACTGTGGCTTAAATGTTATGGAGAAACAAACTGGAGAATTTATTTGGAACTTATTTTTAATTATTTTTTTTGAGCCCCCAAGAGGGGATTTTTATTATTATTTTTATATCACTACAAAAACTGTAACAGAAGAAAAAGGAAGGGAAACTACATTTACGGGATAAAGTAAAGAACCCACTACTAACTAAAAACCCAAGAGAGGAGATCCTCCTACTAGCTTAATTACATCAAGTCTTCCCCTCATTAATCCCATTATAAACTGAGTCATACATTTATAGTACTTTTCCTTTAAATCTTAAAAGTTAACTGTCTAAACACCCCTCCATCCTGCCGGTTCCCCGCGTCCTCCACCCCCCCTTTCCAAAGCGAGGCCACCAAGAGGTGCCTTCGCTTCTCTGCAAGGAAACAGCAGGGGGGGGGGGAGGAGAAGCAATACAGTATTTTTTAAAAGCCACATCAGTGCAGTAGGTTTTCTGGGAAGAAAAAAAAAAGAATTGGAAAAATTTTCCATTCTCTACATAACAGCATGATCTGATTGAATACATTTAGTTTGGGTTATATTTACAAAAAAAAATTAATTACCTCATATTAATTTCATGTCCCAATAGCAACAAATACTTGAATTGAAAAATCCAGTTAGAGAAAAGAAACGAATCGACTGTGGCTTAAATGTTATGGAGAAGCAAACTGGAGAATTTATTTGGAACTTATTTTTATTTGAATGATACCCATAATTTTATAAGAATAATAAGACATAGGCTTCCTTTGCATTGTTTACCTTTAAAGAAAACTCTAAAGGTACTCAAAACGGTTGACATGCAAGCAGTGCAATTTTTAGCAGAATTACTCCAGTTTAAGACCATTAATTTAGGTGGGCTCACGCTGGAGTAACTCTTCACTGGTTGCACTGTAACTTTAGCATGCCCACAGACGAAATTATGTCATCTTACACTTTCTCCCTGTTGTCTTTTCTGCTGTTTTGTGTCTGTACTGCCAGAGAAACTAATGGAATAGATATTTTTAAACACCGCACCCCCACCTAGCCGCAGCTGGTCACGTGACTTTGAAGGCTAGTCTATCCCAATGTCCAATGCTTGATTAGTAAGGGTATATTTTTGTTCTGTTCCAGAAAATGTTGGCAAACTGAAGAAGCTGGAGTATTTAAATTTGGCTTTGAACAACATTGAAAGAATCGAAAATTTGGAAGGTAAACACTCTTTGCTTTAAAAACGCTTCCCGAATTGTTAACCGGGGGAGAGTTTGAATAGGGTTGCCAGACCTCCCGGTGGAGGCAGAGGTCCCCCTCTGCCAAACCCTGCTTCCTAGCTGCCAATCAGCTGGTGGGCAGGGGGGCTTCCCAGTAGAAAGAAGAAGGCCTAGGCCATGTCCTTGGTGTTGTACAGGAAGTGATGTCCTCATGCCAGTGACTTCTGGGCAACGCTCTGGTATTTGGGCAAAAACTCTGTGGTTAAAGCCGGTTTTACCACAGAGTTTTTGCCCAAATACCAGAGTGTCGCCCGGAAGTTGCTGGTATGATGATGTCACTTCCTGTGCGACACCAGCAACATGCCCTAGGCCTTCTTCTTTCTACTGGTAATCCCCCCCACCAGTTGTCTGGCAACCCTAAGCTTGAGACAGATGGTGAGACTGCAGGATCAATGCCGTGTGTATATTTGTCCCCCCTTCAGAAACTAGTGGCTTTATTAACTTGTCTCTTGTTGGGTTTATGCATGTGGGAATGACCTGCTGTAAGACTGCCATGTTCCTGCTTCAGTCTCACAGGTTGGTCAAAGGGAGAGCTGAAAGAACAAACCGTGCCAGTCAAGGAGGCTTCCTTGGACCATACTAGGTCTCGGTGATGCCCCTGTAGGAATTCTTGGGTTAGGTATTTTCCCTCCCTCAGACCTGAGCAACAGAGAGACCTAGGCCCATTCTGCATCTAGCATTCGCTCCGTTGTTTACCAAACTCTCACTGGAACAGCAAACGGTGCGGCTCAAAACCACATTCAAATACCCCAGGCAAATGCCGCTGCACTGACTGCAGAGTCACCCCTGAACGGCCATAAAACCACCATAAATCTATGCAGACAGTACCATAAAACTGAGAGATCACAGGAAGTGAAACCGACAATCAAAGAAAGTGAAAATGGCATGCAATGCAGAGGGGAACTTCTGTTTTATACCCCACTTTTCCTTCTGGCTCAAGGTGGATTTCCTCACCCCACCCTTGGTGCCCAGTCTGACATCTAGGGACCTCAAAATATTGTTCGAGATTTCCCCGAGTGGTACAAAGATCAGGGGTAATCCTTCAGAGTCTAGTGAGAGAGCACTGGAGACCTATGATGTCTTTGTGATTCATTGAGATTCATTGAGAAATATACGAGCAGATCATAGTGGAGATAAATAAGCTCCTGCGGGAGACAGCAAAACTGCTGATCCCATATCAGATTTCTTAAAGACTGCAAGGGCAGCCCAAGGTGCTTCATCCCACCCCACTGTATGGCTTGCTCCAGAACTGTTGGTCAAATTCAGACCATCACACACGGCTCTTTGTTGCTTTCTCTTCATCCTTAACTAACTCTGGTGGATATTACATTCTAAAGACTGGAGAGAGATCCCTGGTCACCAGAACATCCTTCCACATGAGGAAACCATAGGAACTCATCTGTGGCCATTGGCAAGCAATCTGCTTAGGAAAGAGGAGGAGAAGAAGAGGAGGAGAAGGAGATTGGATTCATACCCCGCCCTTCACTACCTGAAGGAGTCTCAGAGAGGGTTCCCTTCCCCTCCCCTCAACAGACACCCTGTGAGGGAGGTGGGGCTGAGAGAGCTCTCCCGAGAACTGCCCTTGAGAGAACAGCTCTGAAAGAATTCATGACTGACTCAAGTTCACACCAGCAGCTGCATGCGGAGGAGTGGGGAATCAAACCCGGTTCTCCGAGATTAGAGTCTATGCCCTTAACCACTGGCAGTGACCTAGAAGACCTTAGAAGTTACATGAAACGTATTTGAGTTGTCAATTAAGTATACAAGGCAACTCAGTTTCATCACATCTCGGAAGCTAAGCAGGGTTTTGCCCTCGTTCGTACTTGAATGGGAGACCTCCAAGGAAGTCCAGGGTTTCTAAGCAGAGGCAGGCAATGGCAAACCGCCTCTGCTCATCTCTTGCCTTGAAGACTTTACAGAGTAGCCATAAGCCGGCTGTGACTTGACATTAAAAAAAATTAGATATACGAACAAAGAAATGATTTTGAATGAAATAATCTGTGCAGCCTTGACTTTGCTGGCACTTGGACTGCTGCCAATTTATACATCTGCAGGTATGGGAGCTGCGGTGGCTCAAGTGGTTAAGACGCTGAACTGCAGGCTGTGGAAGGTCAGTAGTTCAGCAGTTCGAGACCCGGGTGCCGCATGATGGAGTGAGCTCCCATCTCTAGTTCCAGCTCCTGCCAACCCAGCAGTTCAAAAGCAAGAAATTGCAAGTAGATAAATAGGCACCACTTCGGTGGGAAGGTAACAGCATTCCGTGTGCCTTGGTGTTTAGTCATGCCGGCCACATGACCACGGAAACGTCTTCGGACAGCGCTGGCTCTTCGGCTTTGAAACGGAGATGAGCACCGCAACCTTAGAGTCGGATTCGACTAGCTTTCGAGTAAGGGAACCTTTACCTTTACCTTTTAGGTACGGGACACGAGTGCAAGATGAACCACATACTGTGCTTGCAGAAGGTTCCCAGGCCTGAAATCATTGGCATCTCCAATGAAAAAGATCTGATCTAGGGAGGCTCGGAATGAGCCCCGCTTCTGAACTTAGGAAGAACCCTGAAGCTATAGGAGGATAGGGTCAGGTGGACCACTATAGGGTAGCAATCTAACAGGAGTTCATTCACATAATGAATTAGGTTATGGTCTTAACCATGGAAACCAACTACAAGAGAATGCGGGAAAATCAGGGCAAGGCGGCAACCAGTTGTGGGGAATGTAGCCAGTGTGCAGTGCAAGATGATATTGTCGTAATTAGAGTCTTTTCTTTCTTTAATGGAAGCTGATGCCTGTTAAGATACTTGATGGGTTACAAGTGGGCCCAAATGAGTGCTTGGATTAATCAGAATGTCTTTAAGTGACATTTACTCCAGTTAATATGTGTCTGACATTACGTCTCTTGTCTCTGGAGAGTCCCGTTTTAAAAAATTCATTCTGCTTTTCCTGCCTGGGACCAACTGTATTGGTGTTGTAGTCTTCTACTCTGGGAGTTAAATCACAAAAACAATTCCTTTGAACTTAAGAACATAACATAAGAGAAGCCAGTGTTGGATCAGGCCAGTGGCCCATCCAGCCCAACACTCTGTCACACAGTGGCCAAAAACACCAGGTGCCATCAGGAGGTCCACCAGTGAGGCCAGGACACTAGAAGCCCTCCCACTGCTGCCCCCCCCCAAGCACCAAGAATACAGAGCATCACTTGCCCCAGCCTGAGAGTTCCTATCTATACCTTGGGGCTAATGGCCACTGATGGACCTCTGTTCCATATGCTTATCCAATTCCCTCTTGAAGCCGTCCATGCTTGTAGCCACCACCACCTCCTGTGGCAGTGAATTCCAAGTGTTAATCACTCTTTGGGTGAAGAAGTACATCCTTTTATCTGTTCTAACCCGACCGCTCAGCAATTTCACGGAGTGCCCGCGAGTTCTTGTATTGTGAGAAAGGGAGAAAAGTACTTCTTTCTCTACCTGCTCTATCCCATGCACAATCTTATAAACCTCAATCATGTCACCCCTCAGTCGTCGTTTCTCCAAGCTAAAGAGCCCCCTAATAATCCCGAGCATAGCATTGGCCTTTTTTATTGCAGTTGCACACTGTCTTGACATTTTCAGTGAGTTATCTACTACAACTCTCTTGGTCAGTCTCTGCCATTTCGGACTCCATCAACGTGTATTTATAGTTAGGATTTCTGGCCCCAATGTGCATCACTTTGCACTTGGCCACAATGAACCCCATTTGCCACACTGACGCCCACTCACCCATCCTCGACAGATCCCTTTGGAGTGTCTCACAATCCTCCGTGCTTTTCACCACCCTGAACAATTTCGTGTCATCCGCAAATTTAGCATTGCTTACTCCCAAGTCCAAATCATTAATGAATAAGTTAAAAAGCAGTGGACCAAGTACTGAGCCCTGCGGTACCCCACTGCTTACCACCCTCCACTGCAAAAATTGCCCATTTATACTCCCTTTCTGTTTCTTATTAATTAGCCAGTTTTTGATCCACAAGAGGACTTGTCCTTTTATCCCGTGACTATTGAGGTTACTTAGGTCTGGATCACGCAAAGCCAAAGGATTTGATCCCATGGGAGACTTCCGTGGATAGAAGGGATTTTTGGCAATGGAGGGGGACTTGGGTGCCTCCCCCTCCCACTGTTGTACCATATGTTTCCCCGGTGCTGCTTCGAGGGAACAGGAGACTCTCCAGAAACAGTTTTGGGGGGTAGACGTCTGTAGGGGTGATGATGAAAAGTGCCATCAAGTCACAGCCAACTTACAATGACCCCATAAGGTTTTTGAGGCAAGAGACATTCAGGGGTGGTCTCCCGTCCTAATACTGACCAGGTTAAGAACATAAGAGAAGCCAGTGTTGGATCAGGCCAATGGCCCATCCAGTCCAACACTTTGTGTCACACAGTGGCCAAAAACACCAGGTGCCATCAGGAGGTCCAGCAGTGGGGCCAGGACACTAGAAGCCCTCCCACTGTTGACTCCCCTCCAAGCACGAAGAATACAGAGCATCACTTGCCCCAGGCCAAGAGTTCTTATCTATACCTTATGACTAATAGCCACTGATGGACCTCTGCTCCATATGTTTATCCAATTCCCTCTTGACGCTGTCCATGCTTGTGGCCACCACCACCTCCTGTGGCAGGTACCACCCAAAACAAGACATGCCTATGTCACCTGGAAGTGATGTAGGCACGTTAGTGTCTTCAGGGGGGCCACGCTCTGCTTTTATGGTCAAAACTCTATGGTGGAATTAGCTTCAAACCATAGAGTTTTGCCAACAGACCAGAGCGTCATCACCAACCAGGTGATGTAGGCACATTATGCTTCTTCCCTTCCCTCTCCCGGTAAGTCCCCCGCCAGCTTGTCGTTCAGACCTGACAACCCTATGGCCAGCTGATCGGCAGCCTTAACCGGGGGGAGGGGTCTGGTAACCCTACATCAAGCCTAGCTGAGATGGGATGTGTCCCACACGGAATAAAGGATTTCTTGTAATAACATGCAGCCTATACTGAAAATAAGCTAAAATGTACCGGTGACTACATGTAACCCACAGGAGGGACAATAGTGTCTGCATATTATAGAGGTCCCTGCAGGAGAGAGATGCATGGATAGCACTGCCAATACCTTGGGGAAGTATTTATTACACTACCCAACGGAACGATGATTACAGTCCAGCAAAAAATGAGATATGCTTTAGTCCCCCTGTATGAATGAAATAAAGTGCAGAATTCTATGTTTAAGCTTGTTGATTGCAATGTATCTCGGGGTCAGCTAACCTTCAGTGGGTAACACACAGTTTCTAAAGAGATGGAATGGAACTATCAAAATAGCCTTGGACTGCTCACTGTTAATTGCGACATTCGTGCAACTCGATTTCTCTAATTAAAGAGCCACCTATCAAGTTGAGGGCATGAGAACTAAATCACAGTTTATGCGATTTGCGAACAGATCTTCTTGCTCTTAAGCCAATAAAATTTTAATGGGCAAAGCTATTTGTGTCCTTTGTTGGCAGTCCCTTTCACAGAAATGATGGCTAGTTAAATCCCTCTGCTATTAATACCCGAGAGAGACGTACCTCTTTCATTTAATTATTCTGTAAAACTCTCCGAGTTACAAGCCAGTTTGTCCCTTGCGGTTAGGATTACTGTGCTGCCCCAGCCAGCTTTAATGTACCTTTAAGAGTAGTTGCACCCTGGGAATTGGAGTCCACAGTTAGGGGTCCCAGAAGCTTCCCTCTGACTTGCTCATTAAGAGTAATTTCCTGAGTTCAGAGGTGCAAAGATAGGAGTTTTATTGTTCTTTTCCGTTCCTTTGTCCATCAACCCTTACTGCCAGGAGAGGGGAAGCCCATCTCTTCTCTCACTATTCCTGTCCAGCGTGAGCTGTGCTAAGCCAACGCTCTCTAGGTTGTGAGCAGTGTTCCCTCTAAGCTGAGTTAGTGTGAGCTAGCTCACCGTTTCTTAGCCTTCTGCTCACACATTTTTGTCTTCGCTCAGGAAGGAGGGCTCCAGAGCCAACTGATTTATGCAGTAGCCAAATCGCTTGCTCACAACTTTAATGCCAGTAGCTCACAAAGTAGAATTTTTGCTCACAAGACTCCACAGCTTAGAGGGAACATTGGTTGTGAGTCAACGTACGACTACTGAGGAGAGCTTAAATCATCTTTATTTAACTTCACACGCATTCAGAAAATCATTTACTCACAATTGAGCTGATATCTGGGTGGAAGTTACATCTTGTGATCTAGGTCAATTCTGTCGCCGTGGTGAGATTATAAACAAAACCTTTAACTTTAACCCAGCGGGCCGAAAGCAGTTAAAAACACTTTTTAGGATAATATTGGCTCCCAAAACAGCTCACAGGGAGGGATCAAAATTTAATTTAAAAAAAAAAACAAACGAGAAAAGTTCCATACATTCTTTGGATAGGGGCTTCTCTGGGCTTCTCTCTTTTTCTCACCATAAAGACAATGGAGGGGATGGGGGCAACCTGTTTGGGGGCCCATAGAACTGGACCCCCTCCTCCAATATTTTTGAAACTTGGTGGGTATCTTGGGGAGAGGCTCCAGCAGCTACCCTGTGTGTTTAGAGCCTCTCCCTAAAACCCCCTCCCCTACAGCCCCCAGAATATACCCTATGTTTTCACCATTGACTTCAATGGCCTACAGAATATAATGGGGAGAGGCTCCAGCAGCTATATACCCCAGAATATACCCTGACTTCAATGGCCCATAGGATATAATGGGGCCGAAATTGACATTCGGCTGGCTGAAAGACTCCCCAATCTGCTCCTACTGCCGAAATGGACATGCAGGAGTCTTTCTGCCAGCCGAAATTGATTCGGCCCAATTCGGCTGAATCCGAATCGGGCGGGATTTTTTTTTTTTGCACACCCCTAGACTGAACCAAGGTTACCCAACAAGCTCCCATAGTGGAGCAGGGATTTGAACTCGAGACTCCCAGATCCTAATCTGACACTCTTAACCACTGCATCACATTGCACAGTGGAGGGGTGTTGCCTGTCCTCCCTCTAAGTTGGTACATAGTGGGAGGGGAGCTCTCAGCTGAAGCTTCATATTTGTTGATTTATAGAGTAGCAGTTGGTTTTCATTTGCAAGGCTAAAAATAATGGCTTCAATCCAAGCACAGCTTAACTCATTTGATTCCCATTGATTTCAGTGGGAAAGTTAAGCACATGCTTTAACTTGTCCCTGTTGAAACTAACGGAAGTTAGGAGCATTTAACTTCAGTTGGTTGAAATCTAATGTTCTTTTAGGAAGCAAAATGTAGAAAAACTTGTGCACCAGTTAGCTATCTGTTGCATTTTCCCCAATACCCTCAAAGCAGCATATTGATTTTCCCTTCCTCCGTTTTACGTTCACAACAATTCTATGAGGTAAGTTAGACTGAATGAGTTTACTTCTTCACCCAAAGAGCGATTAACACTTGGAATTCACTGCCACAGGAAGTGGTGGCGCCTACAAGCATGGACGGCTTCAAAAGGGAATTAGATAAGCATATGGAGCAGAGGTCCATCCGTGGCTATTAGCCACAAGGTATAGATAGGGACTCTGGGGCAAGTGATGCTCTGTCTTCTTGGTGCTTGGAGGGGGGGTCAACAGTGGGAGGGCTTCTAATGTCCTGGCCCCACTGGTGGACCTCCTGATGGCACCTGGTATTTTTGGCCACTGTGTGACACAGAGTGTTGGGCTGGATGGGCCTTTGGCCTGATCCAACATTGGCGCCTCTTATGTTCTTAAATAGCAGAAGGTTGTCCAGCAAGCTTCAGGGCTGTGCAGGGATTTGAACCTGGGCCTTCCAGCCCTAGTCCTGTATTATAGAAGCTACACCATCTGCTGCTATCCATATCATCCCAGAATGCACTTGTAGAAGCTGTTTCCTGTGACAGCTTTTAATCACTTGGGCCAGATTCAAACAATCTGTAGCCTAATTTTAGGTGACTGCTATAGACCATATGTGTCAAGATCAAAGCTAATTACCCAAAATACTCTTTATAACTCCACGAATCATTTTTATGCATTTCAAATAACGTCTTTTTAATGAAATGGCTCCTGTTTTATAATAAGCTTGATGTTGGAAACGAGTGAACCATCATAATTCTGACAATGTCAGTTGTTCTGATAGTGGATATTTTTGTTTGTAAAGTAGATTATTATGCTAGAACTTGTGTCCTGTGATCCAGGGGAGGGGTCAGTGCAGGAGTCCCCAACGTGGTGCCCACTGACACCCAAGTATTTTTAGAAAGTGGGCAGGACCAGGTGGGGCTTTTGCCCAGCTGCGATTCTGATTGGCCACTGGAGATCTGATTGGCAGTGCTGATTGAAAGGCATCCAGTTAAACAAGGCCTGAAATATTGAAGAGTTGCTGTTAGCGTTACGCATAACCTCACTCCCTGCCGTTTTGGGGTTGGCTTCACCTCATCCATGTGAGAGAGCAGTCACCCCAGAAAGCCATTTTGTATTTGTGCCCACCACCCTGTGTCAGAATTCCAACCGTGGCCACAGGCTCCAAGCGCCCTGGGTAAGTGGGTGTGCTTAATAAATGTAAGATCGATTAAGAGAAAACCCCTCGCATTTCCCAAACAGGCTGCGAAGACCTACAGAAGCTTGATCTGACAGCTAATTTCATAGGCGAATTGTCCAGCATTGAGTCCCTGAAGAAGAACATACACCTCAAAGAGCTATTCCTCGTAGGGAACCCGTGTACTGATTTTGAAAGTTATAGACCATTTGTGGTTGCGACGCTTCATCAACTACAAGTACGTTATGCTGATATGATGTTTATTTACATATTCATTAAAAAGATCCTGACCCTGCCTTTCTGGCATGTATCCTTTGAACCAACTTACATACCTGTCACCAATATGACAAACTGGCAGTATTTATTTGGTTTTAATTTATTTTACACAATTTATACCTTGCCTTTCTTGCCCTCATTTCTTTATTTATTTCATTTACATTATTTATTCTCCCCCTTTCTCCCTGAAACTCAGGGCTCTTCCGCATTCTCATTTTTGTTCTGTGTGTGCCCCATTGCTTCATTGTTGTTTCTTCCCCCTTTTCTGTGTGTGTTCTGCTCCCTCTAGTGGTCACCTCGATATTGTGTTGCTGCATCTGCGGCATATTTCCCTGCAGTTTTAATGGGAGAGAAATATGCCAGACATACAGTGATGTAATACTGAAGTGACCACTAAAGGGAGTAAAACACGTGCGGAAAAAGGGGAAAATAAATAAGTGAAGGAAAAGGGGCACACAACAATGAGGAGAAGAGTGTGGAAAAGCCCTCAAGTCTAGGGTTACCATTGTCCTCTTTTTAGAGGGCATGTCCTCTTTTTTTTGGTGTCTGTCCTCTTTGGGCTCTTTTGAAAAAAGTCTTCTTTTGGGGTTGGGAGGCTGAGCGTGTTTCGCCCTATAGTCCCCCAGCGGAGGCAAGCTTCCGCTTAAATAGTAGGGGTATTTAAAACGAGATTTGCCATAGTGATCAGTTGTTTGAAGTAGTTAGTCGGGAAAATCATAGAATCACAGAGTTGGAAGGGGCCATACAGGCCATCTAGTCCAACCCCCTGCTCAGTGCAGAATCAGCCTAGAGTGTTTGTCCATCCACTGCTCAAAGACTGCCAGTGAGGGGGAGCTCACCACCTCCCTAGGCCGCTTCCACTGTTGCACAACTCTTACTGTCAAATGGTTTTTCCTAAGATCCAGCTGGTACCTTCCCACCCTTAATTTAAACCCATTCTTGCGAGTCCTCTCCTCTGTGCTGCCAAGAGGAACAGCTCCCTGCACTCCTCTAAGTGCCCTCCTTCAGATACTTAAAGAGAGAAATCATGTCCCCCCTCAACCTCCTCTTCTCTAGACTGAACATTCCCAAGTCCCCCAGCCTTTCTTCATAGGGCTTGGTCTCCAGCCCCCTGATCATCCTTGTTGCTCTCCTCTGCACCCACTCCATTCTGTCCACATCCTTTATGAAGTGAGGCCTCCAGAACAGATATATGTAAACAATGCAGTATGATTTGGATTGCAGACATCTGAAAACGAGCAGAAGTCTGATACGGAGCTGAACCAATAGTGAAACAAAGCAGAAGCATTTAAATGTGAGATATTAAACGATGCAGAAATTATCTCGTGGGAACACACTTATGGCAACACAGTCGTATAGTCTACAGTCCCTATCCCTTTACCAAAACATCTTTCTGAAACGTCTCCTTACAGTGCAAATTAGAGCATGCATGATAAAAATCACACTTAAAAACCAACAAAAGGCCCACATCATTAAAACAATTAATGACAGGGCTCAAATACATACAAAAACTAGAACTAAAACATTGGGCAGGAAGGAGGGATCACTGACGGAATGCCGGGTGAAAGAAAAGCAGAAGATGGCCACAGAAGGGGACCGACAAGTCTCCCTGGGGTTCCAGAATTTTGGTGGCACTACTGAGAAGAAACCGGTGTGGTTTTGGTGCCCTCTCCCCAGTTTTCACACTGTTCCTGTCCCTCCTGCTCAGTGTTTCTACTTTCAGCTGTGACAGCCAGATGGTTAAAATCCCCACCCCCCCAATAAGTTACCAAACTTCTATGCAGCAGCCAGTTTTTAGTCTCTCCTAGGACAAGGTTTGTTCCCATATGGTGGAACTGAGCCGCTTCTTTCTCAACTGCTGGTGTGGGGCAGTTGCTGTTTCCCCAGTACTCAGAAATCTTCCTACTGCGCCGCTATCAGCAAACAGCAGCAATTGTTGTTAATGGATCTGGAGCCACAGCAGTGTGTGGGGGAGGGGGGAGGGGAATGACAAGCCGTTGCCTCCGTTTCCCTCTCCTCAAGCGGCAGCAGGAAGGAGATGGTCTTTAGCTGGAGCCAGGTGCCACCTGGGCATGCCATTCCTCCACTGCCACTCCAAGCGGCAGCAGGGGGGAAATAGAAAAAAAACCCAACCTGGCGACATCATGGATGTGATGATGTCATTTCCAGGGAAAACCCAGAAGTGGCAATGGGTAGCTCTAGGAATTCCTGGAAACTTTGTGGTTTTTATCATGATCTTACCGTAGAGTTCCCGGCGATTTCTAGAGCTACCTACCCGTCACTTCCAGGTCTCCCCTCCCCCGAAATGATCTCATCACACCCACAGCATCACCCCTCAGTAGATCCTGCCGGTTGCCGGGCTTGAAGACCCTAGGGCTCCCACCATTGATTGAGGCTTCCTGACTGCTCTCTCCCATGCTCTTCGGTCCTGATGGGCAGTGGATGGAAGACGGAGACCCTTTCAGATATTTGTTATCTGCGGGTTGACCCAGGGCCCCGCAAAGCCTCTAACAAGTCTAAAATGATAATCCTGACAATCGGTTAAAAAGTAAACGATGACACCATCAGCACAAGACCCCAAAGCTGATCTGCTAGCAGTACGGAAAATGCAGAAACAACACGACTCCAGAAAATCGGTCTTAAGGAGGGAAGAAGTACCCAGCAGACGGAATTCATTATCCAAATGCCATCAGGAAAAGAACAGTTCTTGGCACATCTGCCCGGAGGCCTTGAGGAATGGAGCGTGACGGCTCGAAAGATAACGGGGAACATCCTTTTTCTGTGCCAAGGGCCAGAATTTGTTAATCCAATATTAATGTGAATGCAAAATATAGATCGCATGTAATGAAACTTATGCTAAAAGTTTTGTCAGGCACATTGAACAGAAGCGTTGAACGAGCCGATTCCCTGACTCCCCAGACTGACAAATGGCTGGTTTTGTGTCTGATGCCTCGCAGTCAGGTCCACCAAATTTAGCTTGCACATCTTTTACACTCCAGTCTCCATTTAGGTTCATATTTTTAAAAATGCCACTTGGCTTAAATGGAGCTTAAAAACAGCACGAAGCAGCCATTAGCCAGAGCGGGCAGTATGGCTCAGAGCATTTTCTATAGCTCAGTTTGGCCGGGAGATAGATCTTCCCAAAGGTCAGTCCACCCCATAATTTTTTCTGGGATTGCCAAGTCTAAACTCCAAACTCAAGCAGCCGCACTGCTCTGATCCAGCTTTGCCAACTCTGGGTTGGGAAATATCTGGAGATTTTGAGGGCGGAGACGGGGAAGGGAGTGGTTTGGGCAGAGGGGCGTGATCACAGCGGGGTATCATGCCGCAGAGTCCATCTTCCCAACCAGCCATGTTCTCCAGGGGAACTAATCTCTGTCAGCTGGAGATGGCTTCTGATTTTGAGAGCTCTCCAGGCCCCACCTGGAGCTTGGCAGCCCTACCTACGGAAGGGTAAGTGGTTACTGGAAGTTATGGTACCCGTTGTATATTAATAAGATATTGGATGGCTTTCTTGATAATGTGCATTATTTCAAAATGCTTTCCCTCCTCTTGAAGTTTTTGGACGCTAACGAAATCAGGCGCTCTGAGAGGATACAGGCTCTGCAGAATTATCCCGAGGTCAAAAAACGAATCAGAGAGCAGGAACAGGCCTACCTTCTTAAGAGGTCCCTGGAAAAGGAGGAGGCAGAAAGAAAGGTCCAGGACAAACGGGAGAAGAAAAAGACAGAACGAAAGGAATGGACTCCGTGGTATGCAGGCACTGACGCCCCATCATTCATGGGCACGTTTGGACATGTGAAACTGTCTTCTACTCTTTCAGACCCTCAGCCCTGTGAGTGACTGATAGTATTTATTGTAGAGCCAAAGGCCATCACAATCAATCACAGAGAACATAAAACATAAATCATAAACAACATCATTAGAATAAACCAGATCTAAGAGCACTTATTGAGATAAAGCATTTCACCCTTCATGCATAACTTTCGCCCGTATTTTCTTGGCTGCCAAGGCAAACAGTGACACTCTTAAGTGAAACGAGCGGAGTCCGTATCCAAGAAAAGAAAAATCAGCTTCTTCAGGGAAGGGGTTAAGCCCGTCAAGAGCCCCGCAACAGTTGTCTGCTTCAGCAGCCCCCAACCTGTTTGAGCCTACTGGCATATTTTAAATTCTGACAGAGCATGGTGGACGGAAGTAAAAAAATGGCTGCCACAAAATGGCTGCCACAGGAGGCGGAGCTAGCCACAAAACAATTGCCGCAGCTTAACTTCAGTAGCAGTGCGGTGGTGGCAGATTAAAAAAAATTGCACAGCCAGTCAAATATCAATAGCCAATCAGATGCCTAGCTGGGCAAAAGCCCTACTTGGCCCAAAGCCACTTCCTAAAAACACTTGATGGGCACCAGAAAATATGTCAGCGGGCGCCATGGCACTCACAGCTAGGGTTGCCAGGTCTTACCTGTCTGCTGGCAGGGGGCTCCTGGCTTGGTCCTGGGGTCTTCTGGCACACGCACAAAGTACACGCACTGCAATGACATCACCCGGAAGTGATGTCATCACACTGGGCAGGTTGTACAGGGGACACTCTAGCATTTGGCTAAAAACCCTATGGTGACCATCAATGCTCCCTCTAAGCTGTGGAGTCTTGTGAGCAAAAATTCTCCTTTGTGAGCTACTGGCATTAAAGTTGTGAGCGAGCCATTGGGCTGCTGCATAAATTAGTTTGCTCTGGAGCCATCCTTCCTGAGCTAAAACAAAAATGTGTGAGCCGGAGGCTAAAAAACTGTGAGCTGGTTCACGCTAACTCAGCTTAGAGGGAACACTGGTGACCATAGAGATTTTAGCCAAATGCTAGAGCATTTGCCGGGCACATTGGGTGTGGTGGGGCTCTTCGGGAGTGGGGCTCCCCCTGCTGGCCAGCTGTCCGGTGGTGGACTGGGCCCCCCAAAATCGGGGGGGAACCCGCCCGCAGTGGGGATTGGCAACCCTACCCACGGGCACCATGTCTACTCTAATAGACAGTGGCTGAGAAAGATCCTTTATTTATTTATAAAATTGATATGCCAGCTCTCCAGAGACCCATGTGTGGAGGCTCATAACTACAATCAAGCAGCAAAACCACATGAGCCATTAAAAGCAGGCCAGAGCATGAAAGCAGCGTAAACCAAACACTGAGCAGCACCAAACTAGGTTAATGAAACCTTCTTTAGAGTAGAAGCAGAACAGAAAACAGCTGAAAGGAGATGAAACCCCTTGGTTTCCAACCTTTGCTCCTTGGAGTCCTAGTTCTAGGGTCTGAAACTGGGACCTTCTGCGTGCAAAGCAAATACTTTAACCACTGAGCTATGCTCTCCTCTTAGATTTCTCTTTTAATATGGGTATGTTTCTGTCCTGGAAAGAAAAGAATTACTCAGCATATGTGTTGTGTGAGGACTGAGTATTTGCACAGGTCTGTAGGCTGCAAGTGGCTCCCAGAAGCTCTGAGAACGTTAAATATCTCAAATGGTAGAGCATCTGCTTGGCATGCAGAAGGCCCCAGGTTCTGGAGCAGTATTCTTGGTGCTTGGGGGGCAACAATGGGAGGGCTTCTGGAGTTCTGGCTCCACTGGTAGACCTCCTGATGGCTCCTGGGTTTTGGCCACTGTGAAGACACAGAGTGTAGGACTGGATAGGCCATTGGCCTGATCCAACATGGCTTTTCTTATGTTCTCATCCTCAGTTTAAAGGACCAGCCTGATCCAACATGTCTTCTCGTATGTTCTCACCCGCAGTTTAAAGGACCAAGCAGTAGGTGATGTGAAAGACCTTGACCTGAGACTGCCAGTTTGAGTAGACAGTGCTGACTTTAATGGAACAAGGTTTTGATTCAGTATGAGACAGTTTCCTATGTGTTTGTTTCTATGATTAAAAAATGCAAAATGTATAGTTCTCTTGGCTTTGTGGCAGTTGTAATCAGCATCTGCTGCTAGCTTCATGATTCAAGGGGATTTCTTTTGTGCATTGGGGGTCTAGCGTCTACTCCTTAGAAGAGAGAGAAAAGCATCTAAAGGCTGAAGGAGGAAACCAGTACCATGATGTGATCGAGGAAGAGGATGACGAAGAATCAAAAGCTTTTTGGGAGGAGCCCGTGCCCCACACTCCAGAGGCTAGGCTAGAGGCTCACCGATTCCTTGAAAAAAAGAAGGCAAAAGAAAACAGGTTATTTGTCGTTCTTACTGCGTGTTTCCTAAACTGATGATCAATGGTTTTCTGCGTTACCAGATTTGCATTGATTTTCATCCCAGCCGCAGGACCAGATATTGTCTCTAAATAGCTTTTTGGGTTTTTTCCCCTCCTGTCCAAGCAACATTTGATATGCCTTAGAACATTTGATGTTCACAAATCCGTATAAATGGCACCTTTGTCATAGCTGACTGTGCACTCCTACAATAGAACGCAAGGGGAGGCGTGGGCAGGGAGAACAGGTGGAGAAGATACAGGAAGCGATAAAGGTCAAGAGGTGATTCGATGGGCGGGAGCAGCGGTAACTCGAGCCCCCACTTCTCTGTGCATCCGTAAGATGACCCTCTGTGGCTCTTGTCTCAAGTTCCTTGGAGAGCAGTGCACATCCTTACTGAAGGAGACACAGGAAAGGTCAACCATCTCCTCCATGCACTGTGAGCACCAAAATACACAGTGCATGTGACCAATGCTCCCTCTAAGCTGTGGAGTCCTGTGAGCAAAAATTCTACTTTGTGCGCTACTGGCATTAAAATTGTGAGCGAGCAACTTGGCCACGGCATAAATTAGTTTGCTCTGGAGCCATCCTTCCAGAGCTGAGACAAATGTGATCAACGATTCTACTCTGTGAGCTACTGGCATTAAAGTGGTGAGCGAGCCATTTGGCTACTGCATAAATTAGTTTGCTCTGGAGCCCTCCTTCCTGAGCTAAGACAAAAATGTGTGAGCCGGAGGCTAAAAAACTGTGAGCTAGCTCACACTAACTCAACTTAGAGGGAACATGCACGTGACCCAGGTTGGATCAGAGGTGCCAGACCTGTCCTGTAGTTCCATGTCCGGTTGGGGGAGCTCACCTTCAAAGCGTTCAGTGGCCCGATTCAGCTCAGGAGTGCTGCAGAAAGCAGCGAGGGCTTCAGGCTTCCCTCCCATGTCATTTTCACACTTGGAAACAGCCATGGGAGGCTATTCGCCCATTCCTCAGGCTGGATTTGTCCCCAAGGATGTGATTATTTGGATATGTGGTTAATAATAGCAATGTTTGCCCAGTCATAAAAGTGTGATACTGAGTGCAACAAATAAATCTCCCAAGAAGATTATTGCCAAAAAAGGTAAACTTATATTTATTCAAATAGACTCAGTTCACGTTCAGGTTGTAGTCGGAAGAAGAGAGAGAAGAAGAAGAGGAAGTTGGATTTATACCCTGCCCTTCAGTACCCGAAGGAGTCTCAGAGTGGCTTACAAACCCCTTCCCCTCCCCACAACAGACACCCTGTGAGGTAGAAGAAGAAGAGGAGATTGGATTTATACCCTGCCCTTCACTACCCAAAGGAGTCTCAGAGCGGCTTACAACCTCCTTTCCCTTCCCCTCCCCACAACAGACACCCTGTGAGGTAGGTGGGGCTGAGAGAGCTCTTGACAGAAACTGCTCTTTTTCAAGAACAGCTGTGCTACAACTATGTCTTGCCCAAGGTCATCCAGCAGGTGCAAGTGGAGGAGTGGGGAATCAAACCCGGTTCTTCCAGATTAGAGTCCGCGCACTTAACCACTACACCAAACTGGCTCTAAAGATCACTTCCCCTATCACAAATGACCAGCTTGTCCAGCATCATGTGTGTAGAAGTGAAAAGTACTGAGAACGTGGAGTGATTTCAGCAAGTACTTTATTCAGCAAGAACC